AGTGTGAGGCAGAATGTCCACATGCTTGTTGCAAAGCTTCAGTGATTTAAGAAATTGTCCTCAAGTTAGAAATTTGTTAAAAATGTATTACCCGGACCTCAAAATCATTTTTTTCTACTGTACAAAAACTCTCTGCTTCTTACGGCACTCTACTGAGACCAATAAAAGCAGCTCACTGAGAGAACTTGTCTGTACCTATTCATTGATTGCAGTAACCTGGTGAAACATGTGCTGCTTGAAATAAACCTTTATATGTATTAACTTAAATTCAAATGGCAGTACTTTTTTACTTACCCTTGTATATAAAGATAAATCATATAATTCTAAGGTTTTACATACTTTTTTACAGTGAAAGATATTTCTGCCTAGTGAAAAAAAGAACAGAACTAATATAATCTACATATCTATTTTTTGAATCATTGAACATATAGCTTCACTAAATAGGTATAACAAATCAAATTCATACTTCCAATATTAGTGCAAAATTCTCATCATTACATGGAAATTATCTAGGTGCCCAAACAACCTAGACATTAATTTTCATTAAGAAAGTAAAACAGAGCAATTTAGATGATTTTTCTATTAATTTAGTTAAATAGTACCAAAAAGAAATAGTTGGAGTGAAGGAAGGAGACAGGACAGGTAGTGAGTGAGAAAATACAGAAACCCAGAAAACTTGAGTGAGGGATGGATGGATGATTACCTATTCTATCAAATTTCAGAGAAAACTGTAATTGTTCAGAAACATCCTGATTTACACCTTTGTGGAAACAGATGCTGAAATTTGTAAGGGGAAAAAAATCAAAGATGTTCACTAGGCTTTGTAAGTTTGCAACATGTTTAAGAGACTAGCTTTATATGTTGGTTTATGTTTTTTATCCAGAATAATCTCAAATTTTAAGCTGAGTATTCAATTCTGAGTTGTCTTAGATTTCCAGAGGTTCATTTACCAGGAGAGCAGAAGACCTCTCTGCTCCCAGAGCTACTTCCGAAGCCTTGCTTTCATGTTCAGTTCAAGAGCTATGTCTTGAGCAACAAGGCTGGGAAAAGATTGAGGAAGACGGAAAGAAAAAAGGGGCCACAAACCATTCTTCTATTTCACTAAAAAGGCTGTTTTCCTAGTCTGTTCTGTCTTTTGTGGAATTAAATCCCAAACAGATTATTGAATCTGCCTGTGCCTACCAGAAAAAATTCTTAATTTCTTTTCACGCAGACCCAATAAATAAGTGCCCACCTTAACTTTTCTTTCATGGTCTAAATTAAGGTTCTCAATTTTTTTTGGCCTACCACCTCTTTTTCAAAAAATAAGTAACTCAGAAACTCCCCGGGCAATTAAAAACTTGTGTGCTATGGCCCATAATCCAGGATAAAGTGTGTTGTTGCTGTTGTTGTTGTTGTTAAGTGCTGGCCAGTTGGTTCTGACTCATAGAGCCGCCCTCACAATCCATCTTATTTATGAACCCATTGTTGCCGCCACTGTATCAATCCATCTCGTTGCGGGCCTTCCTCGTTTTCACTGCCTCTCCACTCTCCCAAGCATGATGTCCTTTTGGGACTGGCCTCTCCTGGTAACATGTCCAAAACATGTGAGGCAAAGTCTCCCAGCCTTGCCTGCAAGAAGGACTGTGGCTGTATTTCTTCCAAGATGGATCTATATATTCTTTTGACAGTCCACGGTACTTCCAATATTCTTTGTCAACACTACAGTTCAAAGGAACTCATTTTTCTTGGGTCTTCCTTATTCGATGCCCAACTTTCCCATGAATATGAGGATCAATGCTTTTGCAGCCCCCACCCACACCCACACCCCGCCGAGGGCCCACTTTGAGAAATCATGGTAGAAACCAGAGGTAGGGAAACCCCTCCACTGTCAGTATGTTTATATCATCATTCACGGGCCATCCAAAATTATCAACTTACAAATGAGCGGCTATCTTGGAGCAAACATTTTGTGATGGCTAGAACTGCTTTTTGGGTGAGACACACGATGTCAGCTGGTAGTGATGAGTTTGTGGGTCTTATGTGGCCCAGGGGCCAATGTTATCAGCCCTGGTCTCAGTGAACGAAAGGAGCACCCAGAGGATGCTCGTCTGTACCACCTTAAGTCTATAGGGAGAAGATCCTGAGAGAGACCAGGTATGCATTTCTTGATTCACCGGAGGATTTGGAAGATGCCTATAGACCTTATTAGTCTGCAACCAGACCAAACTCACGGCCATCAAGTCTACTCTGATTCATGGAGACCCTGTAGGATAGGGTAGAACTGTCCCTGTGGGGCTGCGAGACTGTAGCTCTTTATGGGAGAAGAAAACCTCATCTTTCTCCTCAGGAGTGGCTGATGGCTTCGAACTGCTGATTTTGTGCTTAGCAGCATAACACATAACCACTATGCCACCAGGGCTCATTACTAGAGGAATGACAAAAGCTCTAATCTGAAGTAGCTGAATATGGTAAAAAAGGAAGCATGTAGGGCAAGCTATTGGTACCCTCTGATAATGGTAGTGGAGGTAACAGAACAATAACTTTGGGAATTTAAACCAGAAGAGAATTCTTTGTATGTGTGTGTGTGTGTGTGTGTGTGTGTGTATAAAATAAGGTGACCAGACATCCCGATTTTTAACAATTTTTCCTGCATCCCCCGGCGTTTTAAAAAAGTCCCAATTAAAAAAAAAAAAGTCCCAATTTTTGGAAAGAATGCACGACAGTTAGCGTATACGGTTTTCGACTGCCATGTGGCTATTTCGCCAGGATATGAGTTTTATCAATGGTGCCCCGCTTTACCAATGTTAAAATCTGGGCACCTTAATATATATATACATACACACACACATCATGGCCAGGAACTTGGGACCTTTGACTCAAGTTGTGGCAGTCATCTTTACCTTTCAAAAAACCCACCATCTTGAAACACACAGATTTTAGCCAGGTTGAAGATTGAAACAACACAGAAATCAAAATTCACTTGCCTTCATGTATGCCATTATATGGTGCAGAAGAATCAAGAGCTATGATGTTCAGTGCTCTAGCTATAAGAAGCCAGAGGTGGCTATCTAAACTTAAATCATTTAAAATTAAATACAGTAAAAATTCAGTTCCTTCGGTCACATTAGTCACATTTCAAACGACAGGTAGATACCATGGTGAACAGCACAGAAACAGAACATATCCATCATTGTAGAACATTCTAATGAACAGTACTGTTCTAGAATATCATTGGAAGAGATGCCTGATGGGTTAAGTAAACCTGTGTGATCTGCCTTGGCAACTACCTATAGTAATTAGTATACCTAAGGGAGTTTAAGAGTTACACACAAACTAACTTAAATTGAAGACTATTTTTAACCATGTTTTCTATGGAATGTTCTTAAAATGTTAATTTGTTCTTGTTGCTATTATAACAGATTAAAAATCTAATTCAGATTGATTGAAAAATGTGATAAGGTTTGTATAAACTCTGCTAAGTTAGGATTCTCTGTGGTTTGCCAATTGAGGCCTCTCCCATAATGTGATCTAACATAATGCAATCAAGTCCATTATGGGATCTCCTGTGAGCCAGCAGTTATTCAGATCACAGCTCTAATGATATAACCTCAGAGGGTGTGTGTCACCCTTGATATTGAAGTAGGTACTGTGGAGAGCTTCACTTCTTCTTACTGACCCGGATCCCACAACTGTCACATCTAGCCCCAGTTCTTAAGCCAGAGGCCCACTACATTGCCTACTGACCCTGGGAGCCATCAGAACCTGCTGACCTTCGGTTTGTTTGACTCTGCCAGCCACAAATATGAGCTGCTGTCTTCCATCAGTCTGTGCTTATCCTGACTTACCTTCCTGCTTCCTGGTGCCGTAACCCTGGAAGCTGAATGGTTCAAGAAGATTCTCCAGCTTAGCATGGACTTCAACTGAACTGGCTTTCCCTACTCCTACAACAATGTGAACCATTTTTTGTTGATATCAACTTCTCTTTCAATAGACCTATGTAAGTGTCACTGCTTTTGCTGCTCTAGAGAATTCAGCCTAATCCAACAAACTTGCCTCAGGAAGCTCTTTCTGTAACTGCAGCAGACTGTCAAGATTTCTTTTCTCCGGGTATTCATTGCCCCAAAGTTCCACAAATCCTATCTGCATCAAACCTGATCTAGTTAGTCCCTTGCATAAAGAACACATTGAGTAGGTTTAGGTGTTGTGTCAATGAATAGGCTGTAAGAAGGAGTGAACAGGAATACAAGGGTGCCTAGGTGGTCTACATGGTTAAAGTGCTCTATTGTTAACTAAAAGTTTGGAGGTTTGAGGTACCTCAGAAGAAAGACCAGAAGGTCTCCTTCCAGAGAATGAACCACTGAAATCCCTATGGAGTAGAGTTCTGACACACATGGAATTGTGAGGAGTGGTTAGGAATAAAGCACAAGGGAGTATTAGGAAAACATGATTAGCAGCCTCAAAGTAAAATTGTGGCCATGGAAGTGATAAGGGTAGGTCGTAATTTCAACTAGTCACTCCTCATAAAACATTTGATGATTCCCTTAAATTATTCTCTTGCCCACTTAATGCTTTTAGCTTACATTTTCATCTTGTTTAATTTATACAAACATAAAGGCTTCTCTACCCACTCTCCCACACAATCCACTTAAAACAAGCCACCTGGGTTTGTTTATACTACATGACTCACTTCCCAAGGATTCATTTGCCCTAACACTCTGAGTTTCCCTCAGAGTTTAGACTTAAGGAAAGGTTCTGTGTATCCTATCCATAAAAATTTAGTTCATTGCCAAAGAAGTTGTTATTCACCTCCAAGAAAGAGCAAATATAATGTTGATATAAGAGTGCAATATGGTGATAAGGGGTGATTAGACGGTCAGATTTTCCTGTCTTGTCTGCATCGGTGTTCTTTGAAAGCAAGCCTGTCTGTGACTAGTGTTTCTGATGTTTTTCCACCCTTCCCTAGCAACTTCCCACCCAAAGCAAACTCAAACACATCTTAAGTCATGCTCCTTACTTACACGTGAGTCACTGAGCCCAAAGATGTCCCTGACGTCCCTGATCGACTGCTTGTTCTTTTTTCTCAGGGTCTGAGTATAGGTGTTGTATCTCTTTTTCACTGCGGCTGCTTGAGTTCGAGTTAACGTCGAAAGCAAGGCCTTCCCATCCTCTTCTTCAGCACCAGAGATCAGAGTTGACAAACCCACATCTTGCAACCATTCGGCTTCAAGTTCTCCTTCTAAAAAATAACATTATCAAGATTTTTCTTAGTGACATATTTGGCATGATTGCATGACATGGGCATCTCTAGGTCTGTGCATATGATACAGTAAAAAATAGCATATGTAATCTATTAAGGCCATGTACTTTTAAACAGAAACTTCAGTGAGCACACATAACAATGAATACACATTTTGCACAAATAGTTTAGAAAAGTCACTAATGGCTGGCTCCAGTCCTCAACAAGCAAAAATTCAGCAATGCCTGATGGGTGCGAGCTTTTAATTTTCAGTCAGCACACTATTGTACTCAGAAAGCTCAGTTCTCTTGATCTCTGCATTTCTCTGTTTCTCTTTCACTATCTCGTCACATACACACACTTAAAGAAGTTGTTTAAAACCTATTTTTCCACAAAATTTTTGAAGCTCAATTTATACATAGTATTATTGTACTTTCAGTACACAGTGTATGAAGATGTGTAATAATAACAAAATAAAGGGGGAAAGGATGAAGGTATACGGAAGCAGGATGTTGTTTATTAAAGCTATATTAACATTTTTCAAACTAAGCTGGTAAACATTTATAATGATTATAATCCCCAAAGTAATCCCTAAGAAAATAACTAAAAATAGATATAAATAAAAGGGAAAAATAAAATCAAAAGTGTACACTATAAAAACCCAACTAAATAATATTAATTGTAATAATAAAAAAGCAGTAAATGAGAAATTAAGGGGCAAGGAGACATTTAAAAGGCATAAAATACCTAAATGCAGAAGTCTATCATCAGTACAGTTGAAGCTTAAAAAACATGGGTTTGAATTACAAGGATGCTCTTAAATGTGGGTCTTTTTCAATAAATACCAGACATTTCTTTGGAGAGATGGAACAATTTGAAAAACTTGTAGACTAACTGTAGCTTTGAAATGTTGAACAAAGAAAAGAAAGCATTAGATGGGTTCTGCATTCATAAAATATCTGTGCATACTAGCACATTTCATCACTTATCATCGCAAAACACATACAAATCTACATAAAAAGTTAATATTTATCCAAGCATATGCACACAAATAAATATGGACCGTACATGGTGCCATTCTCAAGTGAGAGAAATTGAAGTGCATTTTATGAATTAATGTAACTCTTCCAGAAAAATTCTTTGTTCTTCCCATCAAAAACTTTTCTTGATGTGTCTGGGTAAGAGAAAGTACAGGAGGATACTTGTAGAATTCGGTTGTGAGTGACTGTTATGAAGATGAATTGTGATTGTCATCCTGATGGTTATAAATAAGCCATCTCTAAAGGAGATATCGCACTGCCAGCAAGAGAGTAGATCCAAGGATGGCGTCTGTCCTTTGGGCTCTGAGATCCCTGAACACTGAACCTCCTTGATGGAGGAGACAGCTGTGACATCGGGGGAGCAACAGGGAAGTGGCGGTCCAAGCAGCAGAACCAAGGACAGAGCAGTAGACTTTGAAGTGCACTGGGGCAAGGAAAGCTGAATGCCTTTGGATTGTGGAGTGGGGTGTCTCGAGGGACTTAATTGGTGATCCAGAGTCAGAGCTGAATGCCTGCATGTGGAGGCTTATGATGCATGCCTTTGGGCATTTACTGACAGCTCAAAAGATCTATGTAGCATTGCACAAGTAGGGTAGAAGCCAACAGGCCATGTAGCTGAGAGGTCAAAGAACATCTAGAGGCCTGCCCCGAAGCCCTGCTAAAAAGAGGCTGTCCTGTCTGAGTAATCACATCCTGAGCATTTGTAACCTTGTATCCTCTTTAATAAACCCATAAGCAGGGTTGTCTGTGAGTACTCTGTGGCCAGTGTATTGAATTATGGAACCCAGGGATAGCTGGAGTCAAAATTACTAGGAAGATTGGAGGGTAGGGACCTGTCTGATTTCAGCTTCATAGGAATTGGACTTAAACAGCTGATGCAAGTGATGGTAATTCTCTTCCTTTCTCTGTGTGTAACCAGAAAAGTCCCCCTTGCATCATTCTATTTTACAGAAACGTAAATCAACATAGAGATTCAGTATTAAATCTTAACTGTATAAATTCAGCTGTAGTACATTTTATACTCGTGTACTAATTTCATAGCTATTGCAATGAGCTCTAGTGTTATGACATTAACCACCTCCATGGGGAGTTTGTCTCTCCGGTAAATTGTGTATCACAGTACAAGGTGATTTCTTGTGGTTCTCACCTATTCTGCATCCTGCTTACAACAATACTGTAAACATTGATTAATACTATGGGCCACATATGAAATGCCACTAATGATGCTGGAAGTGCTCCCAAGAAGCAGACAAAAGTCATCATATTACAAAAAAAAAAAAAAAAAAGAAGCTGAATTGTTTGATATGCACCATGGTTTGGGTCTGTAGCTACAGATGGCTACCACTTCAAGATAAATCAATCCAGCATAATGACAAAAATAAAAATGGAAAAGGAAATTAATGAAACTGTCACACCACCAGCCACAAAAACATTACACATTTTGTGAAATACTTGTATATCTAGCATTGAAAATGCAATTTTATATGAGTGTAGAATTGCTATAAGGAAGACATCCATATAGACATCCACAGACAGATTGGTCTTCATTTGCTGATAGGACATAACTCAAAATTAGAAGAAATAGATACAAAAATCTATTAGTAATTGGATGTATGAATCTGGGAAAATTAGAAGTTGTCCAAAAATGAAATGGATCACATGAAGATCAATAATCCCAAGCATTAATAAACTGAACTTGACTGGCATTTGCCATTTCAGATCAGACAGTCATATAACCATCTGCAGATATTTTACTGAAAACTAAGATACTATATATACAATCCTGCATAATCAGAGATTACAAAACTATACAAATAGATACATATATAAGATGAAGAGGTAAAGGCACAAAGATTGAGTCAATTCTGTCTCATAGCAACCCTAAGGAGTGAGTTGAATTTGCCCTGTGAGTTTTCAAGGCTCTAACTCTCTAGGGAGTAGAGAGCCTCATTTTTCTCACACAGAGTGGTTGGTGGGTTGAAACTGCTGACTTTGTGGTTTGCTGCCCAAATCATAACCCATTCTCCCACCAGACCTCCTTAGATGAAGAGGCATGAGAAGACAAAAGGAACTACATTCAAGACCTTATAAGACTTCAAAGAGTTTGTGGGGAAAAATGGAATTAAAAGATAATGTACCCTTGGACTATAGTCCAGACTTATGGAACCTCTGTCTGAGCAGAGAGCACTGTAAATTGTGGCCGATGTAGTTAGGTTAACATGTAATACCTTGAGGGGAGGGGGACAGTCAGGGAGGGGGAAAGGGAGAGCCCACCAAAAGGTTGGATATATTCCCCACCACCACCCCGAAGAGGACGAATAACAGACATGTGGGTGAAGGGAGACAATGGAGAGTGTAAGATACGAGATAATAATAATAATAACAATATATAATTGATCAAGGATTTATGAGGGTGGGAGGGTGGGGGTGGGGAGGGAAAACAAGAGCTTATGCCAATGGTTTATGTAGAAAATGTTTTGGAAATGACGATGGCAACATGTGTACAAATATGCTGGATGCAATCGATGTAAGGAATGGTATAAAATGTAAATCATTTGATCTCCCTTTGACCCATTTTAAAGTTGTTTCATTAAAAAAAAAAAAGAAGGTGGGGGATTGGTCCCCTGGTGGATTCCCTGTCGTGAGTAACCCTGCTGGCATGCAGAGTGCGATGACAAGTGGATTGTTGTAGAACCAGTTAGGTTAAAATCGAACACCTTATCTTCTGATCTCCCTTTTGACCCATTTTAAATGTGTTCTTTTTTTTTTTAAATATTGCCTGTCCTTCCTATTAGGATTTTTCTCTGGTTTATTTTGTTATTGTTGTTGGGGGTTTTGTTTGTTCATTATGTTTTCCAGTATATGAAATCCAGGATGGGTTGATCTATGGAGACAGTCACTGGAGTAATGGTTTCTTGGCGGTGGGGGGAGATCAGAGAGAAAAGGGGCCCTGGCAGCAGTGTGGGCCAGAAGGAAGGTTCTGGAATGGATTGGGCAGCTCTATGATATGCCTAAGTTTAAAAATACATGAGATGTGAACTGCCTGCCAGTAAAACTATTACATATAAAAACGATATTGCAAAATTTCAGTTAACTTTTTAAAGTGTCCTAGCTGACCTTTAGCAAATGATACCTATACAAACATTTGTCTGTGCTGTGAACCTAGTCGTGTTTATAGCAGAGCAAATAGGAGGCAAAAGTGTGTCCACTCGTTTGCCATAAACAAGCACCTGGAGGAAATGAGTCACAGAGCCTGGAGGCGAGGGACCACGGTCCTAAAAGTGTAAAATCTGTCTCTCCCAATGTGAGGAAGAACAAAGAAGCAAAGACAAAGGCATACAAAAACGACGAGTCCCAAGGACGATCGGACCTTGTGAACGGTGTTCTCCATCACCTGGGGACCCAAACTAGACGGTGCCTGTCTCACACTGTTGACTGCTCTGAAAGGGATTACAATGGAGGACCCAGGTTACAGTGGTAGAAAACCGTGGGACCAAACTCAAAATCATAAACAAAGATCAGGCTTAGTGGTCGCACAGAGACTAATGGAACCCCCAAAACTATGACCCTTAGTTGCCCTTCAGGCTCAGAAATGAACTCAACCCTATGGCTCAATTTTCAGCAGAACAACAGAGAGTTCTACATTGTGATCAAGAACACTAGGAAACTACACACTCCTCAAAAATAATCCGACATTGGAGATTAAAAGGGACACATTTGCCTACAAAACAGTTCAGAAGGCAGGAAGAAGCAAAAATGGAAGAGAAGTAGATATAGGAAACAGGAAGGAAGTAGGATAAATGATATTACATGATAAGGATCGCAATCAATGGCATGAAACAAAATTTGTATGAATTGTTGAATGGAAAACTAACATGCTCTGTAAACCTTCACCCAATTTATAACAAAATATTTTTAAAAGAAGAAGAAAACTAAATACCTTATTCTGGGGTACTTTCT